CTTAATAGCCACATCAAAGTGAGGCTGTACCTAGCCATGTGGGTGGAGGAACTCCAGTGATCTCATTGGTCGGATTCTGGAGACAATGGCGGGCTACCGCTGATTTACAGGCAATTTGGTTGAGTCAGTCTTAATGTGCCCATAGACACAGAAGTTTAAAAAAAAAAAAAAAAAAATGAAAGAGGCGCTGTGAATTTTCAATCTTGTGAGGTTGGCGGAAGGAAAACTTCAAACCAGGTCAATAGCTCTCAATAAAAATATATAGGTGCAGCGCTAATAAATACCGTATATATGATAAATGAATATCCAATAATAAAAGCAAATGATGTATAAAATAGTCCGGTATTATAAAAATAAAAAAAATAAATAAATGTGATAAATCCAAAGGGTAGTAAAATCAGCAGCAGATATAGAGTAGACTTGTGACACCAACCAGTAGTAAAAGTGCGCACTCACCGGAAGCGCATAGGTAATGCGCATGTAATATAATAACCACCAGGATGACTTTACGTAGGCGAGACAGGTAGGTGAACTTCCATCTACGGAATGGTCATCAAGCCTTAGGAAATGGTTGGAATCTGCTGGATCCAGAGGTCCCCTTTAGACCAAGGGACGTATTTGTCCCATGTTTTTAATTGCCTGTATCATCTGATTAAGAACTTAAAATACTTTTTTTTTTTTTTTGGTTTGAGTCAAAATATTAGTTCTTATCAACAAATGGATCTAGCTTTTTGCCAATTATTTCATGAAATGGCTTAGTGTATGAACTTTAAAAACAAAAAATGTCTTCTTTTGGCGTTCCGTAATCTTATGGTCCTCAAAGGGTTAAGGATGGATTAGGTGCTCAGCCTGAGTACAGGGCTCCCTTCCTCTGGTTGTGGAAAATCAATGGGGGTGACCTGCAACCCTAATAGCTCCTCTACTGCCAATTCCAGCAATGTCTCCAAGGTCAATAGCTCTGGTGAGCCGACTCTCACATAGCAAGGATTCCCCAATGGGTACTCAACAGTAGCTCAAACCTCAGAAATTCAGAAAGGAGAAGCAGACCAGAAAAGCAGATGAAAGCGTCCACGATAATTTTAATCGTTGGTAACTAAGTTCTATAACAAAATCCAACGCATTTCGGTGCTAAACCACTCCCACTTCATCAGGGCTCAACACAAGATCAATAGCTCTGGTGAGTGAGGGCTTACACCACGAGGCTTCTGCTAATGGGCAGCCAACACTAGTTCAAACCATAGAAATACAGAAAGGGGAGGTAGATATAAAAAAACGCATGAAAGAGTCAAAAATAAAATGTAATTGTTGGTAAATAAGTCCTATTGAAAACAACCAACACGTTTCAGTGCCAAACCACTCATCAGGGTTCAACACAAGTTCAATAGTTCTAGTGAACTGGCTTTCACACGACAAGGCTTTCCTCAATAGGTACCCAACAGTAGCTCAGACCATAGAAATACAGAAAGGAGCAGCAGACCAGAAAAACAGATGAAAGAGTCCAAAGATAGATTTTAACTGTTGGTAAATAAATCAAATAAAAACAGCCAATGCGAGCAGGACCAAACCATTCCTTCTTCATCAATAGCTCTGGCGTGCCGGCTCTCGCATGGCAAGGCTTCCCTCAATGGGTGCCCAGCAGTAACTTAAACCATAGAAATACAGAAAGGAGCAGCAGACCAAAAAATGGAAAAACAGTCCAAGATCATTTTAATTGTTGGTGATTAATTTGTACAAAATCAGCCAATGTGTTTTGGGTCCAAACCACTCCCATTTCAGCAGGCTCAACAGAAGATAAACAATGGCTTGCTGCTCTCAAGCTGTTGCATTGTTATTCCGCAAGGAGAGTTTCATTTTGGTGCTAACATATGTAGATTTGTGTGGTCACTGTTTTCTTCTCTGTTGAACCCTGATGAAGGGCAGTGGTTTAGCCCTCTAAACGTGTTGCCTGTTTAATATTACCTGTTACCAACATGCCTGCCTCTATAGCTAAAGCTCAGCTGTGAAGTTTTTACTGCCCCTCAACCGCAAGTGTAAAAAAGCTCTAAATCACTTTGCCATTCCTTGGATGTTTAAGAGCAACAAGGGGGGTCAGGAGCTAGCGGCATGGCAGGGTTAGTCGTAGTCTACCCATCACAGCTCAGCTGTGATTTTTTTTTTTATGGCCCCTCAGCCTCAAGTGTAAAAAAGCCCTTAAAATAATCCACCAGACCTCAGAGGCAGCATCACTGATCCTCCAAGACCTCCAAACCATATGAAGGAACCTAGGACTTTCCTTCAGCTCTAAATTCACATTGCCATTCCTCGGACAATTAAGATGCAACAAGGGGGTCAGGAGCTAGCGGCATGGCAGGGTTGGTCGTAGTCTACCCATCACAGCTCAGCTGTGATTTTTATTTTTATGGCCCCTCAGCCTCAAGTGTACAAAAGCCTTAAAATAATTCACCAGACCTCAGGGGCACCAGCACTGATCCTCCAAGACCTCTAACCCATATGAAGGAACCTAGGACTTTCCTCAGCTCTAAATTCACTTTGCCATTCCTTGGATGTTTAAAAGGCAACAAAGGGGGGTCAGGAACTAGCCGCATGGAAGGGTTGGTCATAGTCTACCCATCACAGCTCAGCTGTAAATTTTTTTTTTTTTTTATGGCCCCTCAGCCTCAAGTTTAAAAAAGCCCTTAAAATAATCCACCAGACTTCAGAGGCAGCAGCACTGATCCTCCAAGACCTCCAACCCATATGAAGGAGCCTAGGACTTTCCTCTAAATTCACATTGCCATTCCTCGGACGTTTAAGAGGCAACAAGGGGGGTCAGGAGCTAGCAGCATGGGAAGGTTGGTTGTAGTCTACCCATTACATGCACAAGATCAACAGGTAGACCGCAACTGACTCTCTTTTGTTCCATTCAATTTTCAGAAGACCAGAGCTTTTCACTCCAATTAGAATGAAAAAAATAATTTTGGATGGAATTGGGGACTCTTCGATAACTGAACCTGCAGTGATATCATTCTCCACAACGTGTCTTTAAAATATACTGTTGAGGATGTTTTCCCACACGTGTGTCTTCCATCGGGATGAATGGTGCAACATCTATCCAACCAGCATTTTTAAGAGATAATAACGTGTGAATAGGCTCCAGGCAAAAACAATGAGGAAGTGCAGTAATCCATCGCAACCAATTGGAATGGTGGGAAGTGATAGGTGATTATGTTCTCACTGTGTATCTTTCACCGATTCTCTATACAATGACATGTCCTACTAATTGTCCGTTATTTATGCTACAGTCACAGGTGACCAGACACTGGCCTAGGGCTTCCTCCATCGGCCACAAATCACCCACATCCAGGTCTTAATGAGGCTTCTCCCCGGAAACCCAACCTAGAGAACCTCATAACTGGATCCTCCACCGGCCAAAAATCACCCACATCCAGGTCTTAATGAGGCTTCTCCCCAGAAACCCAACTAGAGAACCTCATAACCTGGATCCTCCACCGGCCACAAATCACCCACATCCAGGTCTTAATGAGGCTTCTCCCTGGAAACCCAACCTAGAGAACCTCATAACTGGATCCTCCACCGGCCACAAATCACCCACATCCAGGTCTTAATGAGGCTTCCACCAGAAACCCAACCTAGAGAACCTCATAACTGGATCCTCCAACGGCCACAAATCACTCACATCCAGCTCTTAATGAGGCTTCTCCCTGGAAACCCAACCGAGAGAACCTCATAACTGGATACAGGCAGGTGTATGAATGGTACCGTGCCTGGCTCTGGACAGTCATTGCTTCCACGTGCCGTCTGTTCCATAGGCCCAATATTCCCACCATGTAATTTTATGCTTAAATCTTCCCTTTATTGCTATTGGAAAATGGAATTAGAAGCAATTTGCTCAACTCTGTGGTGTTTAATGCATATGGAATTCCAAAGTCCAACATGTACTTACATTTCTAATCTATTCTGGTTCCTCAGGGGAGGAAGAAAAGAGGGGAAGAAAGGGAACTGAGGAGGGAAGAATAGAGGAGGAGCAGGGAGGAGAGAAGGGGAGAAGAAAGTAGAAGGATGGGAGGGGAGAGGATGACGGGAGGGGGTGAAGAATAGCAGAAGGTAGTGGAAAGAGGAGTGGAGGATGGGTGGGGAAGAAGAGGAGAGGGTAGTGGAGGAGAAGAAAAAAAGGAAGAGAGAACAGGAAAGGAGGAGGAGGAAGGAAGGACAGAATAAGAGGGGAGAGGAGATGAGAAGTAAGACAGGAGAGGAAGGGAGAAAAATAGAGCAAAGGGAGCAGTGGTACAGGAGAGAAAGGGGAGAGGAGAGGAGATAAGAAGAGAGGCAGGATTTGGAGACAAAGAGGAGAGCAGAGGAAGAGGACAGAATACAGGAGAGGGGACGAAGAGGAGAAAAGAGGAAAGGAGAGGAGGGCAGAAGGAGAGGAAAAGAAAGGAAAGAAGAATAGAAGAGAGGATGAGGTGGGCATAGGGAGAGTAGGGCAGAGGAAGAGGAGACAAAGAGAAGAGCGGAATGAAAAGGAAAGGAGAGGAGGGCAGGGGAAGAGAAGAGGAGAGGAGAGAAGACAGGAGAGGGGAAAGAGGATAAGAGAGAGGAGAAGAAAGGAGAGGAGAGGAAGAGGTGGGCAGAGAAAGAGGTGGGCAGAGGGGGAGAAGAAGAGGGCAGAGGAGAGGAGGCAAAAGGAGGAGAAGAGGAGTGAAGAGGAAAGGAGAGGAGGGCAGAGGAAAAAAGTTTAAGAAAGGAAGAGGAGATGAGAGAAGAGAAGGGGAAAAGGAGGAGAGAAAGGAGAGTAGGAGGAGGGAAGGACAGAATAAGAATGGAAAGGAGAAGAAGTGGTAAGAGGGAAGAAAAACAAGAGAGGAGAGGAAAAGAGAGAAAAAGAGAGGAGGAAAGGACAGAATAAGAAGGGAGAGGAGAGGAAGCAGGTCAAACGTAAGTGCTTACACTGCCTCAGGGGCGGACTGACAACTCATGGGGCCCCCGGGCAATAGGGGATCATGGGGCCCCTGTGTCCTTGCCCAAACTCACAAAATCCTATGAAAAAGGTACCAGGGGCATCTCATGGGGCCCCCTACTGACCTCGGGCCCTCGGGCAGTGCCCGAGTTTCCAAATGGTCAGTCCGCCCCTGGTAATAGCAGACCTCATAAGGTGTGGTCAGTTCGCCCCTGCACTGCCTGCATTTCCAAAAAATACATGGAAGTATTCATGATGCACCTCTGAAAATGACTTTCTTCAGAAAATACAAATTGCCTGGCTGTTATGCCCTTTGGAACCCTTAAAACACATTTTTTTTTTTACGAGATCACTGTAATACTTCATCTGTAGTGTACTTTAGTGCTGTCTTTTTTTCTAGGAGATGAACTCCGTCTATAAAGGTCTCTATTGTTTGCAGTCAGGTAAGACCTGACCTATAGAAAGGAACAGTAAAGCACAATCCCTGTGCAGCACACCTAGGCAGAAAGCAGGGACTCTGTATAAAATGGGTTACAGCTGTATATTTGAAGAAGCCAAAAAGCGAAAGTTTCTGATTAAAGCTGAAGTGCGATGTATGTATATATTACCTTCATTTATCCCCCCCATCAACGTGGAATTTTTCAATCAAATGACTTCAAGAAATACCTCTTGTAAAACCCTCTGTTGCTATCACTGGGTCTTTTTTATGCCGGTCTTTGCTCTGATGTAGGGCAAGTGTGGTATGAGGGGTTGGAAGGTTGCTGTACCTGTCGCAGCACCCTGTTTTGAGTATTATATGAAAAAACACATTTCCAGCATCCCTTTAGATGTGCATTGATGCTGGTTACTGGGTGCTGCAGACGTTAGCTGTGCTATCTGCTGATCAGTTCCTTTTTTTCTTTTTTTAATTCATATAAGGTTTTAAAGATACAATTTTACATATTAAAAACAAATGTGCACATCACCATGCCACGGTACAACAGCATAACAACAGTGCACTAATACAAAGTATAATGAAGTGCACAAGCTACAAACTGTTGAGTATACACATTGAACCTAAAAAAGAAAGAAAGATGGCTGACATTCCACAAAAATAATGCCAAGGATTATCCTGGTAGGGAAAGGATTGCAAAAATAGAATGATGGGTATACAGTATAACCAACCATTCCAAATAGAATGATACAAATTAAGTTGGCCTCTAGATTTGCATATGCAATGTTCTAGGGGTATTAAAGAGGTGACCATATTTGATCCAAGCCTGCTTAGTGCGAAGGTGGGTGGGGGGTTGAAGGGGTCAAGAGAAAGTCAGTGTTTGGATATTTCATATGAGGGCCATAAAAAAGAGTCTGCAAATTGTTTCAAGATCTGCTGAGAGTAGATGGAGGTCAACCATATAACCGAGCAGACATAGCAGGGGATGTGGATGAATTTCAGTGAGGGAATAAGGAAGAGATTTCCATCATATCACTCCGCTCTGATCAGTTCCCTGATTGCACTCTAAAAAGTGGCTGATTGCATATTGCACAGCTAAAACCTGCAAAACCCAGTCTCCAGCAGGAATGCATGTCTAAAGGGATCCAGGGATGTGTTCTTTCATATAATGCTCAGAAGCTGCAGTACAGAGACTGATGCCAGCCTAAAGATCATGTCCACACATAACGAAGCGGAAAAAAATGACTGATGGAGAAAACTAAATAGCTGTGATAGGCGGGCCAACAAGGAGGAGAGGGGATTGATGATGATAGCTTGCTGCAATATCCAAGGTTTAGTCCTCATCAGTGGCGTCCCGAGGCAGGTACGGGGGGTGCGCGCCGCAGTGAGTGACACCTACCGCACGGGGTGACACCGGACCCGCTCCATGAAAAGGTAAGTTGTAAAGCAAGCCAATGATCCCCGCAGGATGGATCTGATCTTTCTTCACGGCTTTCTTCACAACTTACCTTTTTGTGGAGCGGTCCGGTGTCACCCCGTATAGGTTGCATGCTGACGATCCCCGCAGGATGGATCGGATCTGCGGATTGTGGAGCATAATGGATCGGACTCCGATCTATTATACTCAAACCGCAGATCCGATCCATTCTGCGGGGATCGTCGGCTTTTACAACTTTCCTTTTTGTGGACAACGGACCGGTGTCACCCCCTATAGTTTAAACATGCCGACGATCCCCGCAGGATGGATCGGATCTGCGGATTGGGGAGTATAATGGATCTGACTCCGATCCACTCCACAATCCGTAGATCCGATCCATTCTGCGGGGATCGTTCGAGGGGGTGTCACCAAGTGTTATTCGCACCGGGTGACACCAACCCTAGGGACGCCCCTGGTCCTAATGCACACTTAACAGTTTTACAGCGGCTGTTTTTGGCTTTGGACATTTTTTTTTCTACAGCTAGTAAACCCCCCAGCATGTTATCCTCGGTGTCCATACACACAGACTGGAATCAATGTTTTTTTTGTCTGGAAAAAACCCAGGACTAGTGGGGTTTCTGTGACGGGAGTCACTTTGGGTGGGGGCCCATGGAACACAGCTCACTTTGGAGGGAGACCCCTGTCTCAGCTCCCCATATCCCTCCTATGTGTAAGTCACCCTGTGCCTGTTAGGGGTACAGGGTGATCTGTCCTAATATTGTGTAGACATGTCTAGGTGGGGTGGGGGGTTGTTCATTGTTTACTGCCATGTGGTGCATTCCATTGTTCTATTGTGTGTCTTGCTTGGGAGCAAACTATTATGGGATGTATGTGTTTGTGTATTGGCTTGGTGGGGGGTGTCTGCTGATGTGTCTCTGGTTGCTAGATTTGGTTTGCCCCGCCCTGTGTCATTATGCAGGGAGGGGGGTTGTTCCCTTGAATGTATATATCTTGTATCTGTGTTCAAATAAAGCCATCTATTTCCTGGTTTCGTTCAAGAGTGGTGTCCGTGGATCTGTGTTCGGACAGGGAAGCGGGAGTCTAACGGAAATACCCCAGTGCAGTCGGGTCCAGTTCCGTTACAGTTTCTAGAGAAGTTTTTTAGCTGTAAAAACGCTTTAACGCTGAAAAATGCTGTAAAATGCCACAAACCAGCATTTTTGGACATTTTTTTGACCCCCCAATTTTTTTTTTGTAGTAAAAAAAGATGCTAAAAACCGCAAACGCGGAAAAAAAAAAAACGCAGGAAAACACCACTAAACACGCAAAAATGCTAAAAAAAGCTGAAAAACTCAACTTTTTAACGTGACTTTACGCAGCTGACTTTACCAGTGTTCTCAAAACGTCCCGTGTGCATGAGGACTTATAATGTGGAGAAGCAAGATTTCAGACATGAGAGAGGACTTGCTACATATGTGGAAAAAAACAGGGAATTCTATCCTGTCTGCTGACGTCTTCCGGGCAGCTGCTGTTCCAGGAGTACCTACAGTCACCCGGCTCAGGTGGTCATTGCAAAGCGCCTCATGGATCAGTGACATCACTGCTTCCCGGGTGTTTGTTCTTCCTGCTGATGATGAGGAATTTCCTCCATCATCCGCCCACTATGTTCCCGCACCTCTCGCTGCCGCAAAGAATGGAATTCTTGATGGAAATGCCGCTGCGAGCTGGCAGGAGGCGCTGACGCAAGCTGCGACAGCTGGCAAGCTTGCGACATATCACCCTGTACCTGACGCAAGCTGCGACTGCTGGCCGTCACCCTGTACCTGACGCAAGCTGCGACTGCTGGCCGTCACCCTGTACCTGACGCAAGCTGCGACAGCTGGCCGTCACCCTGTACCTGACGCAAGCTGCGACTGCTGGCCGTCACCCTGTACCTGACGCAAGCTGCGACTGCTGGCCGTCACCCTGTACCTGACGCAAGCTGCGACTGCTGGCCGTCACCCTGTACCTGACGCAAGCTGCGACTGCGCCGTCACCCTGTACCTGACGCAAGCTGCGACAGCTGGCCGTCACCCTGTACCTGACGCAAGCTGCGACAGCTGGCCGTCACCCTGTACCTGCCCGGGTCGGCGTTCAGATGGAGACGCAGCTTTGTGCTATTAGCTCCTTAATTGGAGTCCTAATTAACAACATCATGGCATCAGGCAAACAAAGACGGGGGGGGGGGGGGGGGGGGGGGGGTGGCGCGCACGTGACGTATTTACATCAGCAGACCAGAGAAATAAAAGTTTGTGTGTGGCGGAACGGGACGTCACGCGCAACACGGGCAGATGCTGCGGTGACATTGAACCTCTTACATCGTCTTCCTCCAATAAACTGCAGCAAAATTTATACCAAATTCTCAATCAGTGCACAGAGCCGCAGATTAGATGCCCGCAACGGCGAACCGTGTTTTTTTTTTTTTTGTAAACGCGCACAGAAATGTGTCATAATGCGCGGTTCAAAATGCGCAAAAGCTAGATGAGCTACTTTGATATGTCCAGGGGCGGACTGACAACTCATGGGGCCCCTGGGCAATAGGGGATCATGGGGCCCCTGTGTCCTTGCCCAAACTAAAAAAAACCTATGAAAAAGGTACCAGGGGCATCTCATGGGGCCCCCTACTGACCCCGGGCCCTCGGGCAGTGCCCGAGTTTCCAAATGGTCAGTCCGCCCCTGGATATGTCTGTTGTGTGTGTAGGACAGCCCATTGGATGAATGGGCTGCCTAATGCGCATAGCGCCGAAAAATGTGCACAAAACACAGAACGATTTTGCACGCATTCTCAAAACATCTAGATGTGAATACATCCTAAAAATTTTGCATAATTTTTAACTCATTAAAGAACAAAAACTTTCACTGTAATATATATTAATAGACACAGACAATATAAATCCAAATATAAATTGTAATTAGTGTCTGTGTATAAATAGTCAATTAATTTGTTAGCTCTCATGTGGATGCACTGAGCAGGCTAGATACTAAGCCATGGGGAGCAGAAAAGAACTGTCAAAAGACCTGTGTAATAAGGTAATGGAACTTTATAAAGATGGAAAAGAATATAAAGAGATGGAACAGGAAGGGACCATCCCCAAACTGTTACCACAAAGTTGGGAGCATAAAAATCGTCCAAAATGTCTTGGTATGCTGATGCCTTAAGAGTTCCCTTCACTGGAACTAGGGGGCCAAGCCCAACCCCTGATTAACAACCCCACTCCATAACCCCCCCTCCACCAAACTTTACACTTGGCACAATGCAGTCAGGAAATTACCGTTCTCCTGGCAACCGCCAAACCCAGACGCGTCCAGGGGCGGACTGACCATTTGGAAACTCGGGCCCTGCCCGAGGGCTCGGGGTCAGTAGGGGGCCCCATGGGATGCCCCTGGTACCTCTTTCATAGGCTTTTTTGAGTTTGGGCAAGGACACAGGGGCCCCATGATCCCCTATTGCCCGGGGGGCCCCATGAGTTGTCAGTCCGCCCCTGGACACGTCAAACTTTACACTTGGCACAATGCAGTAAGACAAGTACCGTTCTCCTGGCAACCGCCAAACCCAGACATGTCCATTGGATTGCCAGACAGAGAAGCTTGATTGGTCACTCCAGAGAACACGTCTGCTCTGCTCTAGAGTCCAGTGGTGGCGTGCTTTACACCACGGCATCCGACACTTTGCATTGCACTTGGTGATGGAAGGCTTGGATGCAGCTGCTCGGCCATGGAAACCCATTCCATGAAGCTCTCTACGCACTGTTGTTGGACTCATCTGAAGGCCACACCAAGTTTGGAGGTCTTTAGCTATTGACTCTGCAGACAGTTGGCGACTTCTGCGCACTGTGCGCTTCAGCATGCGCTGACCCCGCCCTGTCATGTGACGTGGCCTACCTCTTGGTGGCTGAGTTGCTGTTGTTCCCAGTGGCTTCCACTTTGTTATAATCCCACTAACAGTTGAGCGTGGAATATTTAGTAGCCAGGAAATGTCACGGATGGACTTATTGCCCAGGTGGCCACCTATCACGGGACCACGCTTGGAGTCACTGAGCTCCTGAGAGCGACCCATTCTTTCACCAATGTTTGTAGAAGCAGTCTGCATGCCTAGGGGCTTGATTGTATACACCTGTGTCCATGGAGGGGATTGGAACACCTGAATCACATGATTTGGAGGGAATTGGAACACCTGAATCACATGATTTGGAGGGCGGGCCCAATAGTTTTGGCAATATAGTGTGTGTAAACGGTGTGCACTATACAATTACAATTAATAAAATACATTTTATATCACAGAATGATTACTGCTTAAGATGCACAATGCAATAGTAAACTAAATGCAAGACTGAAAAAAATACACAAAATAAAGAAAACAGATGATCTCACTTAGTGACTTGCTACAAAGTTACAATGTACAGTCTGATCACTGGGGGAGGGGAGACTGAGGAAATACTTCCTCATGCCTTCTACAAAGTTACAATGTACAGTATTATCACTGTGGGAGGGGAGACTGAGGAAATGCCTCCTCCTTCTACAAAGTTACAATTTACAGTCTGATCACTGGGGGAGGGGAGACTGAGGAAATACTTCCTCATGCCTTCTACAAAGTTACAATGTACAGTATTATCACTGTGGGAGGGGAGACTGAGGAAATGCCTCCTCCTTCTACAGAGTTACAATTTACAGTCTGATCACTGGGGGAGGGGAGACTGAGGAAATGCTTCCTCTTCCTTCTGCAAAGTTACAATGTACAGTCTGATCTCTGGGGGAGGGGAGACCGAGAAAATGAGAGAAGGAGGAGTCATTTCCTCAGTCTCTCCTACCCCAGTGATCAGCCTGTACATTGTAACTTTGTAGAAGGAGGAGGAGAGACTAAGGAAATGACTCCTCCTTCTTCTACAAAGTTACAATGTACAGTCTGATCACTGGGGGAGGGGAGATAGTGGGCCACTATTTCATCCACTAATACCAACAGTGGGGCATAATTCCCTCCACTGACACCAAGGAAGGGGCAAAATTCCTCCCAATGACACCAACAACATCATATCAATCATATCAACCAAGGCAAAGTCACTGTCACTGAGTTCAATGATTGCCTTTGAACAGGGGTGGATTAATAACTCATGGGGCCCCCGGGCAATAGGGGATCATGGGGCCCCTGTGTCCTCAACCACACCCAAAAAAGCCAATGAAAGGTACCAGGGGCATTTCATGGGGCCACCTACTGACCCCGGGCCCTGAGGCAGTGCCTGAGTTCCTGAGTGGTGGTCAGTCCGCCCCTGCCTTTGAGTTATAAATAGGAGAATATTTTTGTAAAACATGATACTGTAGTTGTATATTGTGACATGTCAGGAATGTATTCACTTCAAGTTAATGACAGGTCCACTTTAAGATTCCCCACACCGCATCCTCTGGGCCAGTCCCGCCGCAGCGCGTTCACATCTGATGGGGAGTGTCGGGGGTTCCAGGCTCAGCATGTGATTGGGAATCAGCAAAGATGAAAGTCAAGGACAATTATTGGCACGCAGCTGGTGGCTGTGAGATTGCAGATCCGGCCTCGGTGACGGAGGGATTTACTCCCCGTCCTTCTCCTCTTCTAGGTCACAGGATGGTGTCTGCAGCCATTAATCAGCTTTTTGTTATCCGGGGCTGAGGCACGAGGCACAGGGACCTAGGGACCCCATGTTCCCCTCGTTCCCCATCTACTGCACAGTGACAATCCACATACGGAAAATGCAGCCAATGGCGAACCAGGAGGAGATTTTATAGGATCCTCATCAATATACACGAGCCTGGAGCTTCATGCTGAATCATTGGTGGAGACCAATATTATTATTATTATTATACATGATTTATGGCGCCAACAGTTTTGCTCAGCACTTTACAATATAAAGGGAGGCAATACAGCAACAATACAGTTCAATACAAGAGGGTTAGGAGGGCCCTGGTCCTTGGAGCTTACAATCTAAGAGGGAGGGGCTAGTGGTATAAAAGGTAGTAACTGTGGGGGAAGGACTGGTTGGAAGAGTAGAAGATTCCATTATTATCTGAGGGAAGGATAGGCTTTCCTGAAGAGATTGGTTTTCAGAGGTTGCCTAAAAGTGAGCAGAGTAGGCAATAGTCTGATAAATTGGGGTAGAGAGTTCCAGAGGATGGGGGAAATTCTGGAGAAGTCCTGGAGATGAGCATGGGAGGAGGAGATAAGGGAGCTAGAGAGCAGGAGGTTGTGTGAGGAGCGGAGTGTACGGTTTGGGTGATATTTGGAGACAAGATTGGTGATGTAATTGGGGGCGGAGTTATAAATGGCTTTATAGGTTATTAATGTTTTGAATTTTATTCGTTGGGCAATGGGAAGCCAGTGGAGGGATTGGCAGAGAGGGATGGAGGACACTGAGTGGAGGCCAGTGGAGGGATTGGCAGAGAGGGGTGGGGGACACTGAATGGAGGCCAGTGGAGGGATTGGCAGAGAGGGGTGGGGGACACTGAATGGAGGCCAGTGGAGGGATTGGCAGAGAGGGATGGAGGACACTGAGTGGAGGCCACTGGAGGGATTGGCAGAGAGGGGTGGCAGATATGGAACGGTTAGTAAGGTGGATGAGTCTGGCAGCAGCATTAATCCTGTATAATATTGGTTCAAATATTTCCCAACTACTCCAGTCCACGCTTGAAGTCACAATTAAAGTAACCCACCCCCCCCCCCAACCAATAAAAAACAAAACAGATGCATACAGCTCTACATGCTAAATGCTCTTTCCGACTCCAGTCACATCACAGTAAAGTTGCTCTGCCCACTTAACCCCTTGGTGCCGGAGCCTCCCGGCCCTTTAAGGGTTTCACAAGTCGGGGTTTAGGGTCATGTGACCGCATGACACGCCGTCACGGCGGTCACATGATCGGGAAAGGTCCCGATCGAAAGAGGAGATCGGGACCTTTCCGTGAGTACCGGACATGTGTGCTGGGAGTGCTCTCAGCACGTTTTTTTTTTAATTGAACACAAATGTGCGGCCGCTCGGCGTCTAGGCCTAGACGCTGGGTGGCCGCACATTTGCGTTCAATTAAAAAAAAAACGTGCTGAGAGCACTCCCAGCACACATGTCCGGTACTCACGGAAAGGTCCCGATCTCCTCTTTCGATCGGGACCTTTCCCGATCATGTGACCGCCGTGACGGCGTGTCATGCGGTCAGAGGTCATGCAGGCCATACACGGGTCGAATTCCAAATTATTTTTTTGATTGAAAACATTGTTCGTTCTGTAATCCGATGGTGCCACCAATGATTTCGAAAATTGGTTGTTTTTATGAATTTTCCAGCATGCCCATCAAAAGAAATGGAGAAGAACCACGAAAATCTGCAGGTGCCATTGCCCTACTAACAGCAAAAATCGGCCAATTATTCTTAGGTCCGATTTTCAAATGAAAAATCGTTCGGAAATCGACCCATGTGTGGCCGGCCTTAATGGGCCACATACAGTAGAGGTGGCCTGAAGGGGTTAATAATGGGGGATCTAGCACCTCTTATGAATGTACTCCGGGACAAAGAGGGGAACAGGCGGTGCAGGTAGAGTCGCTGTATAGAAAACATTTCCCGC